CATCGGGCGAGGCAGAGCTAGCCGAGCCAACCCTCGGGGGGTCGGGCGAGACGGGGCCCGTGGCCGTAGTGCCCACTAAGGTAGAGCCAACCCTCGGGGATCAGACGAGGCATGGCCCAAGGCCTCGGTGGCCGGACGAGATGGAGCTTGGCAAGCGGCGTAGTCGCGCTCTTGATCGCATAGACGAATCACTGTAGATGGTCATTAGCTCCTCCTCTTCAGGTACCCTAGTATTGGTCCCTGACAACGCGGCTCGGCCAGAGCTAGAGCGTGGAGCCCTGCCACGTTCGTTGGCGCTCGAGACCAGGTGGCTCCACGGTGGGGGTGCGTCGACGGCTAGGTGGTGGTGCGGGGGCGGTGAGGCAGGTGGTCAAGCGCGGGAAGGCGCCGATCAGTGGTGAGCTCGAGCCTTGCGGCGGGCATCAGTAGCAGGGGTGACCTAGCACGGATGATGGCAGGGGCGGCGATGGCGTCGCCACGGTGGGGACATGGCACGGGGCAACTCGGGGCTCGGCGCGCTTGCGTGTGCGGTGGCCGGCGATGGGAGCAGCTGCAGGTGCTTGCAGGAGGTCGCCCAGAGCAGCGGGTCGCGGGCGCGGCCAGATGGGAAACGCGGCGACAGCGGCGCGCCAGCACAGCCGTGGTGCGTGGACTGCGGAGGAGGCACTCAGAAGGGGCAGCACAGTGGGGCTGCAGCTCCAGCGCGACACTGTGGGGGGGGGTCACGCGCACTCACGAGGGGCCGGGCGATGGACAGTGTGGCCACGGTGGGTGCTCGGCTCGGTAGAGGCAAGCAAAGACAAGCAGAGGCAGACAGAGGCAAGCAAAGATGAGGACAGCAGCTCGGCCTTGACTTAATGACGCACGAGATAGTAGACAGGCATCGTGGCAAGGACACGGATAGGAGCAGAGCAAGAGATAGAAAGAGCAGGGCGAAGGTAGTACGCCACAGCAGCAGCTCGAGTAGGTGGGATGAACGGCAGAGATCGCTCGCTACAGGTGTTGGTTCCATGAACAGAACACCAACGACACGGTTCACAGCGCGATCTAAGGAGGTTAGGGGCAATTTTTATGAGCGCAACATGACTCCCATCGTGACTACAACCTGTACCATACTCAAGTACTCACCTTGGCGCAATCAATGGTACAATTACATGAAGCTAGTGTTTAGGTATTTTAGCTAGAATTTAATTGCTAAAACAACATTGTCTACTACATTTCTAAACTTAGAAAATTAAAGATTTTAGTTTGAACTAACATCTACTAGCGCTTTTGCTGAAATTTTTAATATGCCAAAACCTAATTAAGTTCAACCACTAGGCATTTCATACACTAGTCCACAGGTCATACTAACTTGTAGAAACAAAACTTCTAAGAACTACTTAACTAGTTAGTTCAATATAACTCGCCATGAATGATACTTTAAAACATAAATTCAAGCGCTTATTGTCTTAACGAAAATTCGATCTTTGAGCTATCGTAAATACCATGGAACAACACCTATTCACCAAATCAATAGTTGCATTTTCATCTACTAAACTCGCACTTCAAATTTTATTGAAGTACCAATTACAAGTTATATTTTATTTTTGTTTATAAAAATTGCTTTTCATGCTTAATCAATTAAACAAGCCATTCGCTATTTATTTGCTATCGTGGCATTTTTAAGCACTTTCTTCATACTTTTTCAAAACAAGCCCTAAACAACTTTTGTCCACAAGATTATTTAAAAGTCATTAAGCAATCGAGACAAGTTGACTAGCGACACTTATTTGTTTGTTTTCTTCACGAAAGCGAGTCACACAAGATCCGTTTATAATTCCATGTGTGCTTTAAACTTTTAAACCCGAAAACTTGTTTGGCTAGAGAGAGGGAGGGAGAGGAGAGTGGAGATGTGTGTGTGTGTGTGTGTGTGTGTGTGTGTGTGTGTGTGTGTGTGTGTGAGAGAGAGAGAGAGAGAGAGAGAGAAAGTGAGGGCTAACATGTGGGCCAAGGAGAGGGAAAAGAGGGCAAGTAAACACTTGCATGCTGCAGAGCCATTGGTGTCCTGATAGACAGTCTGTCGAGGCCTCGTGGACTCCAACAACTTGACTAGTTAACACGTTTGACTTCTGACTAACGAACAGTTGGTCCTCCGAAACACTTAAGGTTCTTGTTGATTGAGTTCTTTGGGCAAATCAACTTGGTAACACTTTCATGGCATGACACTGGTCCTTGGTGAGGCCTTTCAATAGGTTACTTCATCTTACCATACATCCGCCGTAGATCTGGCCTTAATTCAACTTAGGTGACAGTTGTTGATGAACATTTTGCTCTTGGTGACTTGGAGTCGAGGGTAGTTGATCGCCTAGGGATGGTAGGATTCCTGCATTTAGAGCTTAAGTATTTACTGGAAAAGATTGAGTGTAAACACCAAGGTAACCAGGGGAATAGGAGTGGATCGATAAGAGGCGTCCAAAAGGTCAAACTAAAGAGCTCATCTGGCCATGGCATGTGATAAAGGTGGTTCTATTTGGATTGCACTTGGGTTCGAAGCTCAAGGAGTTCGGTGGAGGTTCATCCGTTGGCTTAACAAGAGGATTTTAACAAAGCTTTTTATTTAAGGTGGTTTTCACGTCGTGACAGTAAGGAGCACAACTTATTTTGTTATAGGAAGAGAAAACTCGACGAGGTAGGATCAGGTGGACGAATCATGAATGTGGGTAGAACGTATCGTACTTGATAATGATAAGGATATGGAAGAAGAAGAAAAAACAATCTTCACATGGAGAAGAAGGTTCCACATGAAGAAAATCTACTTACTTTAATTTAGGATAACAAATAAGGTAGACATCTATCTACTTTTTATATGTATTTATTAGTCAGTCTAGGTTCTTTTGTGAATGTCAAATGGTAAGGGCACAAGTGACCAAATACTGCAGCCATGTTTTGGGCACAAGGTTCCACATGATGCAATTTTCTTCTCTTACTGGTGTGTTGTGGTTGTGCTACCATTCGTCCTTGTGCCGTGGCATTTGTTGTTGTTTTTTTATTTAGTGGATATGCCACAAACTCGCCATTGTGCTAGGGCTGTTGTATGGTTTTAGTCTATTTTTTCAAAAATTAACCGGACAAAAGGTTTTCCCTAAAACATCAAGACGGTTGATTTTACACACACACACACACACACATATATATATATATATATATATATATATATATATCAGGTGGCCATTATCTCCCCTGACAGTTAAAAAAAAGAGAGAGCAGTGGTCACTATTGCAGTATAAGATTTGAAGGCAAACGTGGGATATGATGGGGTTCTCTTTTCTTCGGCACCGAAGTTAACGTGCAAGGAAGAATTAAAGGTGAATTAAAGGTGGCTCCTGGGTCCTGGCTCGTAGTCAGGTCACGTGCACGCATCTCTGTTCCATTCATACTCACGGAGTAGCCTATTTGGGCTGCCAACAGCCGCATGGACGCCCGGCGATCGCGTGTCGTGTTCCTTCTTTTTTCCGGTAATGCTCTGTCCACGGACGGCCTCGGAGGTGGGCCGTTACGCCCACGAGGATCTCTTATCCGCTTCTATTTTCGTTTCTCTTCACGCACCATAATTTCTTTAAAAAAATCACCGCAGCGTCACGATTGCTCCACGACTGCGCTCTGACGTGGCTCCCGCCCGCCTTCCTCTCCACCGCTGCGCCCGGTCACATCCCGCGCTGCTCTACGCCCCGCGCCATGCCCCCATCCACTTCGCCCGTTGTAGAAGGAGAGGCATTTGTGCCCCCATCCAACACGCCTGTCGGCAGGAACGGGAGGCCTTCACGCTACGCCTGGGGTGTACGCTCGACCGTTGCTCTCGACGTCCCCTGGACCCGAGCTTGCTGGCAACCAGAGTTCCCCACCAGGTAGGTTGTGGCCGCCGTTGACATTGTGTTTTTAAATGTTTCATCTGAATGTTGCAAATAGATCTTGGATGTTGCATATGTTGCAAGCCTATGTTTCAAGTGTTTCAGGTGTTTCAGACGTATATTTCAAGTGTTTTATCTGGACGTTGCATATATTACAATGACTCTATACGCATGTTTCAAGCGCATGTTTCAAGTGCTTCACATGTTTCAAACTCATGTTATAAGTGTTTTATCTAGATGTTACAAAAGTAGATCTCGATGTTGCATATGTTGATATGTCTATATATACACGCATGTTTCAAACGTATGTTTTAAGTGTTTCATGTATTTTTCAGGCGTATGTGCAAGTGTTTCATCTGGATGTTTTAAAAGTAGATTTAGGAGAGCACATGTTTCATCGGCCGTAACCGCCCTTCTGTTGCTGCTATGGTGCCGCCGTGGGTCACCGTGCGGGTGCCTGAGGCCGGCAGACGCCTCCGCGGCATGTATTCGCAAGCGGGGGCAGGTGACTAGGACCCACATGGGGCCTGAGGATGGGTGCGGGATGGGCTTTTGGGCGCGGGTGACGTGGGGCACTAACGCTGGATGGAATGCGGACTCGAGTCGTGGGATGCCGTGTAGGATAATATGCGGGAGCTACATCCAGAGCACCGTCTGTCTAGACATCCGCGTGCTAGCCTTTCGGGTTTTTTTCCTGGGATCTGATAGGAAAGAGAAGCAGCACTAATACAAATCTGCCGTCGCTTTGCCCATCCCGCCTGGGACTGGGATGCCACCTGCCGACCTGCGGACGACGCCACGGCGACCGTTTTTTTTTTTTTTCCTCTAAACGCGATATCCAGCAGTCAACTGTGAATACGTGGACGGGCGTTGGGCGGAGTGGGGAGGAGGAAGGCACCAGAGGTGGGGTGGATGGGAACGCCACCGATTCCTCTCTGCAGCAGCAAGGCCCCGTGCGGCCGTGCCGGCTTCCCCTGCCCCGTCTCTGTCTCTCTCCTCCGTCTCCTGCCTGACGACACCTTTGCGTGCCCTGTGCATCTGAGCCGATCAGGCTGCCTCCGGCTTGTCTCTGCTTCTCGCGCGCGCATGCACGCTGGGAGGAGGATAGGAATGGCGAGGGACGTCAACAGGGGCACCGAAGATGACGGCCATCCTCTGCCGCAACCGGCCCCTTCCCCGTCTCCGGCGGCCACGGAGGAGGGTACCGACAGGAGCAAGGCCAACAACAACCTCAGGGACAGGGTATCCTTCTCGTCCTCGTCCTCCAGACCCCGCCCTTCGTGCTGGGGAAGCATCAGGATTCGTCGGATTGGCCGGATCCAGAGCAGGACCAGAACGGGCAGCGACGAGCATGACACGCGCGCAAGCCTCGGCGACCGTGGCCGCTGCGCCTGCGGGTGCGGCGGCAAGGCAGGCGCAGCGGTCGGGCTGAGGTCCTCCTCCAGCGCAACGATTTCTACTGCGACGATTGCAACCCGCACAGGTAGAAGACGTTTTGATGCTGCTACTCTCCTCTCTACTTTCTGGTTGCTGCTGCTCCAGATTTTGCCCGGATGGATGTATATTTGAATTGGATTGGATTGGATCACGATCAATTCAAAAAAAAAATCATGTGAATGACTCATTGAAGTGTATATCCATCTTAGGTAACCCAGTTTTTCTTTTATCCTGTCCCAGTTATGTATTTGTTGCCGGAAATTTGCGTATGTAGTAACAATGATTTAGGCAGATCAATTTGTCCTAGAACATGAATACAACTACAAAGAACTCTGCTACAGAATAAGGCTGTAAGATCTCGTAATACTGATTGGAAGAAAAATAAACAGATCCGACCTTCTAAACGCATATGTCCCAACTCCCAAGCTATATTATAACGAGACTGGTATGAACAATGCAAAGGATCGATTCTTACCACACTGGCCACTAACCCGAAGCCTTATAAAATACTCGAATACTTTGATTACAACGTGGGCTGTTGAGACTTGAGACAACAAAAGGAATGTGGTTCAGTAACAAACTCCGTCGAAATGGTGAGCGGAAGTCTAATCAGAATGCTGAAAGAACCTATCAGAAGAATATGGTGGCATCAATCTTCATACAGAGAAGCCTTTTTAGCATTGTATGTATGTACATTTGTACTAGCTCTGATTTCCTTCATATATCAAATCTGTGCACCCTCCTGATGCGTAACTCCTCGACTGTAAGCTCCCTGTTACACGAAGCTTGGTGATGCTGTCCCCACGAAGAAGCACAGTCCTCACGCATGGTGCTGCACCTCTCACATATATCAGTGGCAATTGAGTTATAATCATTGCAGCTTGAGCATACCCAGCATCCTTTCGGGCATCCTCTTGCTGCAGATGCACAGCACCCAGCTCTGCGCCGACCTGTAACGTGACCCTTGGGCAGGAGCGGGACAGACCTCACGAGTTCCTGAGCAAATCTCACTGGCAAGGCCATGGCCCTGGTACCGCATGAGATCAGACGAGAGAGCGGGCGTGGCCTGTTGAACGATCCCGAGCCTAGCCTGTTGAACGAGCCCGGAGCTGGCCTGTTCCTGTTGAATGAGCCCTTGAGCCAAAGGTAGACATGTCCAGCAAGTATACCACCAAGATGGCCAACAAAGGAAGTATTGGGAATCAAAGCTTGAACGAGGAATAGTTCAGCCCAAACAGAATACTTTGCTGGAATAACCATCCCAGCCAGATGCAAGAAATCACCCGGCCGGGCAGACATCGTCACGGCCTTCATGCCAAAGAGCACGCCGGAGAACCCAATGCAAAATTCCTCATAGTACGGAGCACCCTCACCAAGCAAGAACAAGCCTTTGGACAAGAGCAGCATGGCACCCTGTGACAGGCCAAGCAGGGCAGCAACCATGGAAGCGAACTCGGCGGTGCCCATGGACGTTTCAAGCTCTACGCCCGTCCACAACAGAGTTGTCATGTTGCAGAACAAGTGAACTTCGTTCACGTGGTACCAAGGTGACAGGAAAAAGGTCTTCAAGTCTCTGAACTGCAAAGAGTGTTCACGTAAATGCGTCAGAACCTCTACAGTATGTCACTATAAAAGACTATGTAAAAAAGGCTAAAAACATGGGAAGTATTTCAAGGCAAGTTTATGCCCAACGTCGTCGAAGTCTACACAATGGTCAAGTACTTCAAGGCAAGTTTACTCAACAAAAGATGATCACTATAGGTTCTTAAACTTTTTCTCACATCTCATCTAGGTCCATATCACCAGATGATCACTTTGAGATTCCACGGACCCAAAGAAAATGCATGAAAAGTTTAAAGACCCAACAAAGGGAAAATGAACTTGAATCCACGTAGTCCTATTAAAAGATGGAAGTACCTAGTTCCAGTAACCATCCCATTCGATTTACACCAACTGCAAGGGGACTATTAACAGCAAATCAGTATCGTGCACTACTCAGGCAGGCCTAATACGATAAACCTTGGGTAAACCCTCGGTTCGACTTGCCAAGAACCCCGATTGCAAAACACAATGGTCGAGTTGCATCACATTGATGAAAATTGCGGGGTTGTGAATTACGATGTTCGTAGTGCAATTCTCTAGCACAGAGAGGAAAACTTATACACAGAATCCTGGCAGTGGCATGTATGTAGTTGCGCTCGGCAGAGGTGGGTGCGTACCTTGAAGAAGATGTTCGGATTCAAGGCGACGTAGGCTTTCTTCGGCAGGATCGCGTCGAGGGCGCCGGGGCGCAGGAAGATGAGCACGTTGGCGGCGAGCAGCGCGGCCGTGGCGGGCGGGCGGGCAGAGCCCGCGCGGCCGTACTCGAGTAGCACTTGCAGCCCCAGCAGGGGCAGCATGCCCTTCGATGGATCCAGGACGAAGCCGCGCGGGCGGCGCCGGTAACTGCTCGTGCCGGACCCCATCTACAAAACCGCCGACCGACACGAAACCAAAAGAGCCTGCACGCAAACTTTTCTCTCCTCTATCTACAGCTCTACTCTCTTATTATCGCTATATATGCGGCACCAGACTCCGTATTTCTGGATTCGTTTCGGAAGATGTACTCCCTCCATCCCAAATTGTAAGTGATTCCAAGAATTTTGGAGAGTCAAAGTTTTTCAAGTTTGACCAAATTTATATAACAAAATAATAATATTTATCATACCAAGTAAGTATCATTAGATTCTTCATTAGTTATATTTTCATATTATACCTATTTGATGTCATCAATCTTTGTGTTTTTCTCTATAATTTTAGTCAAACCTGAAAAAGTTTGACTCTCCAAGATTCTTGGAATGACTTACAATTTGGGATGGAGGGAGTACTTGCATATAGATATAGAGGGCCTATTCGCTGGTTGGTGCTGGTTTTTTTAGAGAAAAACACTATTGGCTGGCTGGTTTGGGTTGGCTGAAACCAATAAACGAATAGCCTGATAGTTATATTCCTTAACCAACTTTTATGGGACTGGCTAGCGCCAGTACGTCCGCAAGCTACCCTCCGTTTGGACGCCCACGCCACTGCCCCCCTTCCCACACCTGTCCACTCATGTCTCACCTGCTGCGCCCGCCCACAAGCATGTGGGACTCGCCCACGCTAGTGGGGACTGCCTCTGCCTCCACCTACGCTCGCTTCCCGCGCCTGCACTGCGGCGAGACAACAGAAAGGCGATGAGGGAGATGCAACACATGATCTAATTCTGAAACACCTAGATGTAACAATTGCAACATACGTCTGAAAACAAATAAAAATGTGTCTGAAACACTTGTAAAAACACCTGAAAAAACACATAAAACCATTGCAAACATATGCAACATCCAGATAAAAACACTTGCATCATATGTGTAAAAACATAACATCCAGATATACACACTTGCAACATGCGTCGGAAAAACAGATGAAACATTGAGAACAGAAGCTTGCAACATACGTGTACAACCATTGCAACATATACAACATCCCGATCTACTTTTGCAACATCCGTATGAAACACTTGCAACTCTTACAACATGCGCTTTAGATGCAACATCTTCTTGCTGCTCGGGAGAATAGAGGCTCATCAGTATGTGGTGTTCACAGGAGCGCCGTGTGGAGAGCGAAGTCGACGGCGTCGTCCAGCGCCGCGTGCTCCGAGAAGGCGTGGTCGCCGCACTCATGCTAGACCACCCACACACTGTTGAGCGCGCAACCCTGCGCCGCCCAGTAGAGCGGCCACGCCGCCAGGCGGAGCGCACCACCGGTGGGGAGCAAGGGATCGCCACCAATGCCATGTAGAGGAGCGCGGCGACAGTGGAGAGGTCGCGTAGGAGGTAAGACGAGGACCTAAGCACGGAGCGTCAGAAGAAGTGCTGCGGGATGGCTCGCCTAATGTCGACACTAGGAGGCAGCATGCGAGCGGATAAGAGTGATGAAGAGGAACAAGTGCATAGGAATGAGTGGATGAGCAATTTTCTTAACCTAAAGGAAATTTGCAGGAATTAAAAATGGAGGAAAAGAAATTAGCCTAAACGTTTGGAACAGAGGATTGTGAAGATGCCTTTCCTTTTAGAATACTGTAGCTCGCTAGTTATTTCACAGGAAATAAAACATTCGTTCATCTATATATTTTATATTTTCAAACCCTACTAGCAATTTATCTAGGTATGCAAAGTGTTCACGTCTGCATCCATTATAACATCCCATTAGCACATGCAACTATCTCGCCATACAAAGTGTTCACATCAGCATCCAGTAACACATCCAACTAACACGTGCAATTGTACCTTCATTCCAGGTATTCACATTAGCAAATCATATCATTTACTAACATATATTTAGTTGTCCACGTCAGAATACTAAACATTATTTACTAACATGTATTATAATATGTATCTAATCATATTAATCATATTAGTAAATATAAGTAGTATAATTTTACCTGTGATTCCTAAGGCAGGGCTTTGTTCTAGTTACTGTAGTTTTCGTTCCTTCGTGGTTGCCCGAGGCAGCGCCTGTGAAAAAGAATCTGGCACCGCAGTTGCTGCCCCCACTCGCACGTGAAGCTTGAGCTGGCATCACACTGATAATGGGACCCAGGCTTGTAGGGGCAACATGTCAGTGTCCAAGAAATGCAACTTGAGAAGCTGTGTACCTATTTGACTTTTTCATAGGTGGAATCCACCTAATTCTTGTTTCCTATATTTTTGTTACTGTGTTTCAAACGCCCCTTCCTATATTTTTGCTTTGGTTTTCCATTCCTCTGTTTTTCTATTTCCTTCTTCCTGTTCCTTTGTTTTTTTTCTCATTCATCTGTTTTACATTCCTACGTTCCAAACAGGCTCAGAGAATTTAATAAATGTGCATTATTCCTGTCAATTATTACAGTCTTTGTGATACCCAACTCTGCACCGCCAAATGTGGCCAATCTTTTTTTCTTTTTGAAAAAAATATGGCCAATCTGAAATCTGATCGGCAGTTGCTACTAAAACATGTCATTGTGCCTACCTTATTACAGTCTTTGTTTTCTAAAACATGAATTTCTGTTTACCTATCAAATCGAAAGACCAAATGTTACACCTTATGGTTGTTGTATTTTGTCTGTTTTCTCATTTCAAATGTTACACCTTATAGTTGTTGTATTTTGTCTGTTTTCTCATTTCACTTTCACGTTACACAAACTTGATGGTTACTATAGTACAGTGAAAGCGATGCTATCTGATTATGGCTTTTAGTCTTTTCAGTTGATCTATGCTTTACTCAAAACATTGAGCCAAAATTACAGAGGTATGCATCTAAGATTGCTTCTCAGGTTTGTTACAGAGTCTGATTTGAGCGCCGCCAAATCTCTTGATTTGTTTCTACATGCCTTCCTTCTCCTGACCCCACTGCATCATATTTCAGTCTTCCCTAATATTTGCTTTACTCACATTTGAATCTTTATATACTGACTATTAGATCAAGTACCAATAATAGTCGCTCTCTATCAATGATATTTCAGTAAGGAAACTTGTACGTGAAATCTCTTAATAGGTCCACTACATAATGCTAATTCCCTAGGACCATCCCCCCTACAGGAACCCAATTAGCAATTATCAAGAATCATTTAGAACCCAATTAGCTTCAATTCAAAAAAGACTACCTTGTATCTGCATAAAGGAACATGTATATAAAGGTTCAGTAGGACACATGTTATCAATATTCAGACTATGACTTATTGAACCCAGTCAACATTATAACTGGTAGCATAGAAGTATTGTTGCCCTTTAATTTTGATTTGAGAATTGACTAAAAAGTTATGCAATAGTTCAATACAAAAATATAATTTATATCCCCTGCATTTATCTTTGTATAACTATAGATAGCCTAATACTATAATTATTGTGTCTTTTCTTCACCCTCTTCCATAAGTGACTGATTAATGTATGTATAGCCTTCCACTGCAATTTCATTTATGCTCCGAGTCTGTGTCTCTTATTTATGTGCCTCATTGTTCTCACTCCTGGATATTTCGACTGTTTGCATCTCCAAAAATTAACCTTACTGAGCTTCTTCATATTTGAATACTGCAATTTCCACAGAAGTGTTCTCTTACAGACAGCTAAAAAGGATATCCTTATGCGGCGGTTCTTAGACCAACTTCTTCTGAAACTTTTCATGTGAAGCAGTTAGTTTGCTACTGCATGCCTCCAAGGTTTCCAAGCATCATGAAATGATTCTGGCAAGAGACCAGATTGCTTATGCTAGTTGGCATCTGCATATTCTTCCAATACTGCACTACACCTGAATTATCATGGAAGTGACCATTCTTTCTTCTGAGCAGCAAAACTAGCACTTGCCAACACTTGATCACGTGCTGTATGCATATGTGATCTTTTTACTGCCTCTCAATCTAAATCTACAATACCTGTACACATCTGCTTCTCTTTCATCTGCATGGGTCTACTCAAATCTAGCATACATGAAGTGCCAGAGCAAGTGAATCACCACCCTAATTCTCCTTCATCGCAGCATCGTTGTTGGCGCATGGAAGGTACAACAGGCAGCTTGGTTAGACCCTCAACGCTAGCCTAAACCTGGCAATGCCGTGCCCGGATTTTTCTTGTATATATAAAAGGTGACACATATGCAGACACTTTTTTTTCGACGTGCCCTGGGATAATTTGTTATTATTAGGCGATAATTGCTTACTTCCAAGGCTTTTTGAACAACCTAAAATTATATCAGTAACAGTCTCCTTCAAATAATGAGGAAAAATTCAATTATGTAAACATTCCTCATCACGAGAAGAACCAAATGTGCCTACACTATCTAGGATAGGAATGGAACTATCATACATACTCACATAGACCTTTGTTTAGCATGGCACAATGTGTGTGCTGATAACAATGATTTACATCATCTGTCAAATCTTTGCAGCCTCCTTCGGCGTATCTCATCAACTGAGAGTTCTCCATTACCTCCAGCTTGATGATCCTGTCTCTGCGAAAAAGCATGGTCCTCTCGTGCAGTGCTGCACATCTCACATATATCTGTGGAAACTGAATTGTCATAGGTGCAGGCTGAGCACCTCCATAACCCTCGAGGAGTATCTCTTGCTGATTGCCGGCGCCCAACCCTGCCCTGACCTGTAAAGCGTCCCTGTGAATGGGCAGACCATAGAAGATTCTGAGCAAATCTTACTGGCCAGGTCACGACTTTTGCAATGCTTGACATCAGAAGAGTGACCGGATCTGGCCCATTTAATGCACGCTTCAGCCAAAGGTAAACCAATCCAGCAAGTATTCCACTAAGATGGCCAAGAAAGGATGTCCCAGGAATGAAAACCTGAATGAGGATCAACTCAACCCAGGCAGCATATTTCGCTGGAATAACCATCCCATGCAGATAGACAAAGTCTTCTGACCAGGCGTTCAGCACAACCTTCATGGCAAACAGAACACCAGAGAATCCAACAGCGTATTGATTGTAGTACGCAGTATAATCACCAAGCAAGAGCAAGCCTTCGGACAAGAGCAGCGTGATACCCTGTGACAGACCAAGCAATACAGCAACCATGGAAGCAAACTCGACACTACCCATGGATGTTTCAAGCTGAATGCCCTTCCATAGGAGCGATGTCATGTTGTAAAAGAGGTGGCTTTCACTCAAGTGGTAGAACGGTGACAAGAAGAAGCGCACCAAGTCACCATACTGCAAAAATGTTAAATCATCATAATTAGTTTGGGACTTAGAACTGAATACATTGCTATATGCCTATATATGTGTGATTGCAATATGAGGAATCATTGAGCGATGGTGTCCTAGCAAATTTGTGTGTGTCGGGACTCGAAGTTGACAACCCATTTCATTATTATTGGTCGCACTTATTCGTCCCTGTTGTCTACCACATACCGCAACAACTGCAAGTCTGCAACTCGCAGATTAACAGAAATAAAAATGGGCAGGATTTCGATACGTGTACAGGATAACAGGAATTTCGTTTTCTAACTGCGCTATGGATAAGTAGGTAAGATTAGGTACCTCGATGATGAGCCGCGGGTTGAAGGAGACGCGCGTGAGCGAGGGCAGGATCCCGTCGAGCGCGCCGGGGCGGAGATAGATGAGCGCGTTGGCGGCAAGCAACGCCGCCGTCACGGGCGGCCGGGAGGCGCCCGCGCGGCCGTATTCGATCAGAACCTGAAGCGCCAGCAGTGGCAGCATCCCTCCCGACGCCCCGGCACCGAAGCTGCGCCGCCGGCCGCGGCTCATGCCGGACCCCATCTCCGAGATCGCCGACCGACGAACTAAAGCCGCAGCTGCCTTCACACGCAAACTCTCTACTACAAATTCCACTGGCTTCCTATCGCCTCGCGGGCACCCATCTCCTTTTATTTTGGATGGATCATCAGTTGGGGTCTTGGGGAATCTCCGTGTTCTTTCTTCGGGCGCAAGGGATGGGATGGATGGCGGCAAGGCGATGGAACCTTCCGGATGACTCTGGCAGTCGCGTCTAGCCGCGCCGCTCCGCTCGACCGCTCCGCCCCCAATTCGCTTGTCCTCGTTTCCCCTTTTTCTTTCTCTTGTTTTTTTTCCTAAAAAAATCATATCTTAATCTTGTTTTTTATATTTATAATAATGCACGCTTTAACCTTTATATTCATGTTACATGTAGTTAGGTTAGTTTTGTGGAGAGTTCCACTAAGGCATTGTTTGCACATGTATTCATCTCAATTCACGTGGATCGAAGTGGATTGGACTGAAATCAAACTAAATTCTATTTCAATCTACTCCAACACACGTGAATTGAAGTGGATACATATACATCCAAACAAGGCCTAAATTAGTTCCAAGAACATACAATGAAATAAAACATGGATAAAATTATCCCCTCAATGCATAGTTTCATTCTTTAGTTTTATATAGTCTCATATTTAATTCTATGACTCATATTGAGTTGTTAACTGAGCAAAGAGAGTTTTATCTCCAGAAATTTATTTATTTTCTTTGTTTTGAAAAATATTATCACATCATTAAAAATACTTATGTGATAACCAATTAAATGTAAATAAAAGTCTGATCAAACTAGTTTTACTATAATATATATTAGTAATCCGACTCCATATGAACAATTTTGATTTTTTTGGGCAAACTACGGGGCCGTTTGGGAGAGCTCCAGCTTCCGCTTCTCCAAAGAGAATCACTCACATCTAGCTAAATGCTTAAAATGCCAACTGATTTAGGTGAGGATCAGGAGAGAATCACTTCTCCATTTACGCTAGTAGCTGGGAGCTAACAAAACCTGGTTCACCCTGCTCCCTATTATATTATGATGGGGATCATCGTCAGAGAATCAATTCTCATCACCTCCCCACCTGCTCCCTCCTAGGAATGCAATGAAGTCACTCTATCGGAGAATCAAGGAGCAGAGCCGAAGAATCATGGAGCGGAGCTCTTCCAAACAGGGCCAAAGTAGTACATAGCTACGAACCGATAATGTTAGGTATGTTAATTATAGCAATAAACCGATAGTGAAAACCTACCTATCACTAGCGGTTATAGCTATGAAGTGATAATGATATATTATCGTTGTCAGTTTTAAAGCAACCGAATGCGATAGTACCCGTAGTGACGCTGTGTGTTTAGAGTAGTGTTTCGGACCGAGAGCAGCTAGCGCCTGGACGTCTGAACGGACGCCAGGGTCCAGACGCAGCTCCCGCACCCGTGCCCGCGCCCCATCTCGCCCGATCCGTCGCGCCCATTACCGTTCGATCCTTGGCTACGCCCACGAGGTCCCATCCCCGTTGTGCCCACGTCACCCACAACATCCCGTCCTTGTCGCTCCTTCTTTCGTGGCCCAAGCCTCCATCTTCGCCATCAGCCCATATGCTAGGGAGCCACAACAGCCGCCCTTCTCTGTGCTCGTGGGCCTCACCGAGGCATCTACCACGCCTTACACACAGATGAAATACTTGCAACAAACATTTGAAACAAACGACACATTAGAAACATACACTTAAAACATAGGTGTATAGCCATTGCAACATATACACCATCCAGATCTATTTTTACAACATCCATATTAAATACTTGCAACATACATCTGAAAACACCTGAAACACTTAAAACATATGTTTGCAACATGTGCTTTCAGCGCAACATCTCCTTACTGCTTGGGCGAATGGAGGCTCATCGGCGTGTAGAGAGAGTTCACCGATGTAGAGCTCGCCGGTGGTGTGGAGCTGGGCGGTGGCGCACTGCGCATAGAGGTAAAGGCTCTAGTTTGGTTTTGATGAATTGATGAAACCCTATGTGCTAACCTTTGCTCTAAGTGATCATGAGATAGGGTAGCACATTCCAAGTGGTGGAGCAAACACTAAAGATCATGATGATGGTGGTGATAGACATGGTGATGATTAAGTGCTCGGATTTAGAAAAGAAGAAAGAGGAAAATAAAATAGGCTCAAGGCAAAGGTGAAATCCATAGGGCCATTTTGTTTTGGTGATCAAGACACCTAGTGGGTGTGATCACATTTATGATAGATAGCCATACTATTAAGAATGATGAAACTCGTCATGAAATGAGGTTATCAAAGTGCCACTAGATGTTCTAACTCATTGCATATGCATTTAGATCTAGGGGAGTACTAACACCCTTGAAAATATTGGTGAAAATATGCTAACACACGTGCATATGGTGATACACTTGGTGGTTGGCACATTTAAACAAGGGTGGTGAAGTTGGAGATCATAAGGTGTTTTTGATCAAACAGACACTGAACTCAAAGTGACCAGACTCGGCTGGTGTGCGTCCGATCAATTTTAAAGGAGTTGGCGCGCTCGGGCTGTGTCTAGAATTCGACCGGATGCAACACAATGTTTGTGACCAAACGCACAGGGTCTGCGTCCGGTCACAGGTGACGTACGTTGTTTCAGAACCGTCTAATCTAATGCCCTCTCAAGAGTACTTGTCTTCCATTAGACACTAAGTATTCAAGAGAGTGCACTAAATCGTGCCGTTCCATCGAGCACACCCCAAGGGGAAACTCGAAAATCCACATTTTTCCGTCAAGATCATAAATGAGAGAATAAGCTTACAACATTCTTAACTATTTGTTACATCACTTGATTACAACATTAGAGTATTCAAACAAGTTGAATGCAACAATGGGATTAAAACAGTTTACATGTAAACGACTTTATACATTTCAAGTTCGCAAGTTTTATCTTGCAGCGAAAAATAAACATATGATCAGAGTTACAGTGAAAACAAAGATTAATTTAATGACATGGTGAAGTATTAACATAGTGGACATTTATGTACAAGCGATGCTAGCAGATTTTTACATCTTTTCTTATAAAAACCTTTAGTGAGGGTTATAAATAAACACTATGACCGTAGCGTGAAAGGAATCCTTTCTGAGCCCATCAGAAGGTTTCCACACACAAAAGTTAGCTCTATGTATCCTCCGGTTACCTACAACAGGGGGAAATAAAACCCTGAGTACTCGATTGTACTCAGCAAGACTTACCTGACAGAAGGAAAATAAAAGACTCCAAGGATATGCAAGGCTATCGGCTTGTGGGTTATTACATCTGCAGGAAGCATTACTAAACATACATCCTTATATTCAATTTTATTAGCAGTCATCATTAGTTTATTAACTAACCATTCTATGTAAACACCTATGCTACTTTCAAGTAGGTGGTGAGAAATCAGAACTATTTTACCATCTTTTATATTTCAGTTCTTACTAGGGTGCTAGACCATAGCCAAGTCGGTACCATCTCAGAGAAACGGTGATTCGCGAATCAATGTATCCCAGCTAGGTACCCCGAAACATATGCCCTGCTTATACCCTAGACACAAATGGAACCAACTCGTCTCACTCCTATCAAGGGGTCTATGTCCCCGTCCAAGCTTGGACTCCAAACGCCCAACACCTGAGACCTAGTCTCAGTATGGTGCTTGGACCTCCACCTAATACCCACCCCTAAAAGCTAGTCCGAAAAGAGCCAGAATCCATGACAAGAGAGTAATAAGTCTTCTCGCTCCCATAAGCAAGTATGTGCTCAGGATAATAAGTCTGTGACCTGACTACCATCCACAGCAACGGACGGTCCTCAATCAACATAGGTAGAACAAGTGCAACCCGAGCCTCGCTCAATTACCTAACCGAATCCAGATCCAAAGTACAATTCCGCCCGATCTCCAATTAGCATCCATATATATTTCATGTCATAGTAATATAATAACAGCAATAATATCTTTCCTATCTCTCATGAGTGACAGGTAATCACTTGACTTTTATCGGATCCTTTAGCATAACAATCTACATGATCCTATCATACTAGTAAGACTCATGGGATAAGGATATATGTATATGCAAGTGGGCTTCAGTCAACTCCTCAAAACTTAATGCACAAGCATAAAATAAAGTGCAGAATATTAGAGGTTATGCACCGGGGCTTACCTAGGCAAGACGTAACCAAGGATTAGCATTCCACCATGGTGACATGATCACCAAAGCACCACCTTTGCTGCTACTCCGGTCGACTCCACGATCCATCGTTTCCTATTATGATGTTCGCAGATGCAACGCCGAAAACATAATTAACCAACGACAACTGCAACTCTAAAAACACGACTATGCCTCGCAAGCTAACGGGCTAGCTCTAATGACTAACGTATTAGGCTACATATCCATGTCGTCAAATAAGACCTCATTTCCAGAAAATGTTTTAGTTCTACAACCCTAAGGTGTTTTGGCATTTTATTGATTAAATATATATATATATTAGAACTAGGGCTCATTTAGCTACCTTAGCAAACTAATTATTATGGAGCTATAAAAATCATAGTGGGCTCCCAATAATGTTTGGAATTTACCATGAAAATCCCAGAGTCAACATCACTACCAATTCCTCACAATAATTCCTACAAGTTGATGTTTTAACAATATTAAGTACTTCAAATTAATTAGATTACTCTTAAAAACTCTATGAAACTATGTGAACAAAATACACTAGCAGATAGATCATGATTTTAGGAACAGAACAAAATTAGTTTCACAATTTTCGGTTAACTACACAATTTTATATTGAACTTACAAGTTTATCTCAGAAACTAAATTAGAAAATGCTTAGAAAAGGAAAAGGACCGGTGGTAACCATTCGGCCTAACAGCCCGGCTTGGCCCAACGTGGGGAGCGAACGCGTGTAGCAACCGGCCCAGCAACGGCCCAAGGCGGGGGAGCCCACGTGCATGATTCTTTTGCAAAAGA